TACCAATGACCAATCGAACTGTTTTTTATTTACTTCCGTGCACGAGCAAACAAATACCTATAGACCCCTCCCCTTCCCCACCTAAACGCACCTCGTTCCCGCAAGCAAGACCAAAGCTACGTGACATTGAAAGTAATCCATTTCGCACGGATAATGTGCAACCCACTCATACTTACATTGTACGGATACTTGTAGTATACATACGTATAGGTATAAGTGTATAGCAAGCCGTGGGCGATAATTAATGCAGAGACGCAACACAAATTAGCAAAATCGCGGTCAGTTTGTCGACCAGAGAAAGGGCCAGGGGGGGGGGGGAGCTGCTACTAAGGTCCATTTAAATGCGGCGTCTGTTCTGCTCTCGGCTTAATATAATTCGGAATTAAAACGCACAAGCCCACGAACGGAGGCGGCAGGGGGAGTACACGGGAGGAGGTGGTAGCTCTCTCGGGTGGTATATACAGGGGGAGGAGGGAGAGAGACTCTGGAGACTTATCCGCTCGTAAGCGGCATTCCGGTGCTGCTGCTGATGTTGGCTGGCCGGCTCGAGATTTTATGCTAATTGGCTCTATATAGGGGATGCCGAGGCCACTTTAAACTCGATTCTATTAATACACGGATGCGCCGCTCGTGCTTAAGTCTATATACCTATACGCCCGTGTGTGCGTTTGTTGTCTACCGGTCCTCGTGTGTATATACGTTTTGGAAGTGTAAGTGTACTTTAGGTTCGGTCAATAGTTCGTTTCCGCGTTTTATCGGTCCCATGTGAAAAATCATCGGTCCCTGTGTCGTTTTAACAAATACGATGTTCAAGAAATGTTTCCACGAAAAGTCATCATTTTTCGTATGATGGAAAAAAAAAAAAAAAAAAAAATAGACAAAAACGTAGGATAAAAAAATGGCACTGGTTACACAAGTGCCATTTTGATCCAAGTATGTACGTAAACCAGGGGGAGGGGAACAATGTACAAACGGGCGTGTATACGTATAATACACAATTATTTAGTCTACGCGTGCATTTCGCGTGATCTCTCGCTATTAAATCCACAATGGATTTATTTATTTGTTTATCCAACGCGAGACGACACGCGTTCACGCCCACCGAGCCCCCGTCTCAAAGAAACTCGATGTATATATAGCGTTTGCGCTAAGCGCGCCATTACCTTATACCTAAATCGAGCCAAACGATCCCCACACGCGATATCTCTCGTCCGGCTGTCGGCGCGAGACCTCTCTCTCGCTTCTTCTTCTTCTCCTCCTCCTTCTGTTGTTATTGCAAACAAATGTGCAAAATTTCCAGATGCGCTCCCATAAAACGGCCGACTCTCGGCAAGTTGTACACCCACTTTCGCGCGTCCGACAAACTCGGCCCTTATTTTTCTAAACTTTTATTACAGTATACAATATTATTGTACAATGCATTTGCGTATATCTGTAAAAACCAATCGTATAATGCGAGTACAGAGTATGTTATCTTGTGCGGTTACGTATACACTATGATTGGTACGAAAAATCGCAATACCATGGACTTTCGTTAAAACATGTTAATCCAACCGAGGTGTCGAGACTATTAGTCTTCGCAAGCTCGCGTGCTCACTTATTGCACATGTCGTTCGTCTCTGTTTGGTGTACATACAAGTGTGCGCGCGTCAGTCGTAATTTTCCAGCCAGTGGGGGAAGGCTGCGTTGACAGGCGTATACGGCTTGACTCAGCACCCCGAGCAAATATTAGCAAATTGTACCTGTGTACGAGGGTACGCGTAACCCTTGCACCCTCACCCTTACAAGGTCATCTCTAAACCATGTAGAGTTGAAGAAAACAAAAATCCGCTTTGGTGGAATTTGTGCTGCTCTTTCCTTCTCCCCGAACATTAAGAAATTGGGCAAATTGACACTTTTATTTTAATAAGTAGGGGCGCACCCAACTGAACTTGACACGCATTGAGATGTAAAATTTGTAAAAAAAAAACAAATGTGTCTCTCTTATTTTATCATTCGTATAGGCATGATATAAGGATTTGAGCATTTAGTCAACACACAGAAATATTGGCTTTTCATTTCTTTCGGACGACGCGTAGGGGAGGGCCGATAGTTTTTCTTTGAGCTTCCACGCGAAAGGCGGCCATAAGAAATAGTCCATAATATACACACACGCGAAGATTGCTGTTTGCTTTTCTCCCTCCTCCCCCCCCCCACCTATCCTCTGGCCACCAAAGTATTTCTAAACAGAGCTATTACGAAAAAGGCGGTATAAGCTTTGGGGGGAAAAAAACAGCCAGACGGACAGACGTGGTAGTTTGCATTAGATTTCCAGTCGAGCACTATAAGATAATACGTATCGAGAGGGCGGGGGGTAGGAGAGAGAGAGAGATCGTCTGGCCGCGTCTGCACGAGTGTGTGGGTGTATATATACCCACCGTCTGTGTACATATACTTATATAACATGCGGAGCCGAACTTGCTTTCCTTTCGGCTCCGAACGTCAAATATTATCTTTCGTGCCGCTACGATGATTCGAGGGACTCGAAAATACTACGCGGACAAATTGAGATCGGGAAAGAGCACATTTTAATGAAAATTAGCGCCATCATCCCGAAGCTAATGAAAATTGAAGAAGGAAAGGGGTGGGGGGGGAGGGAACGACGACGACGACGCTATTAATTTCGCAGAGAGTGTATACGTGTACAATGGCTCGTCGAGCCGAGTTTCGCGAGGAAAAGCACGTCTATCGCGGCTCAACAAGTAGGCGCGGTGTGCAATTATCAACAATGAGGGAAAAGCGCGGCTGGCGCGTCAGGGAGAACTCAAAGTTCGCCCCGAGTCCCGAGAAGCGGTGTACAATATATAGATATATGCTCTTCTCCGAGTACAACGGGCACCCTCCCTCTCTCTTTTTCTCCGTTTTTCTCCGTGTCGTTTAGCAATGGCGTTTTTAGTTTCTTCCTCTGTGTTATGAACATCCGAATTACCAAGTCCGAATGCGATAAATCTCTTTCCCTCTTGGCTATACTTTTGTGCCCCCGAAAACTTTGACCATCGGTCCGACTGTCTATATACATATATACATTTGGCGGTGAACTTTGATATTAAAATCGACGCGTGAGGAATGGTACGCCAGCAACCGCTGTTACGCGAGAAAGAACAAAATTGAGGAAAATTACGAAAAACAGCAGTGATTTCGGTGTAATATCTATATTATATAGTCCAAAGCTCGAGTTTTTTCAACCCCAAGGAGATCAAAGTACTCTCATCGGTACGTATTTGTTCGGATAACAGAAAATAGAAAAGAGGAACGTGTCGTGTACCATTTTTGAAAAGATCTATTTCGTAGATACGTGTGGACAACACTGCAGGCACCGAGTGTGCAAGTGTTTTAATCCCCGAATGTTCAATGAGGGGTCGCAAGTCGCGATAGAAAATGGGAGAAGGGGGATTATTAATAGCGCGCGCTGCTATTTTTGTGGCCGCGCAAGAGGGAAAGGGAGAGCCGTTTTCAAGTGGATTGTCGTCTGGGTGAGCTCCCCCTCCGCCGAGCCGACAACAATCGACTCATCGATCAAGTGTGCTCCACATACGCGCGCTCCTGCACAGAGCCGGCGCGACGGTCACTCGCTGCCCCAGAGTATATTGAGTGTCCTCCTCTTGTGATTTTCGCCCGAGTGACAGATTTATGACGATCCGTGGACCGATGGTGGACGCGCGCTCTTTTCGGGGAAACGACGAATGGGAAATAAAAGGAAAGAACGGAGGAAAGAAAGACCGATGGGGCAAGAGTTGTAATCTCGGTATATCTGACGTGCACGCGCGGCTGCCTCGCTTTACGGTTTCGGATAGTCGTAAAACTTTAATTGCCGCTGCACGAAAATCGTCTCGAAGAGTGTGTGTTTTACCTTTGCCAAGATTTAATAAAAAAAAACCCCAACATCATTGAAGTTTCGCTTGGCCGAAACGCTATGAAAAATCTCCCCCAAAAAAAAAAGCTCAAAGATGTTCACAGTCCTTGTTCTCACGTAAGACCGCAATTACAAAGTTTACGAGCCTTCCCTCCGGAGCTCCGGCTTTTTTCTCTCGGATAATCGCGGGAGATCTACTGCACGGATGGGGAAAAAAAATTAAAAAAAACAAACCCCCGGTGCTCTGACCTTCCATTTGTTCCGCGAGCCCCACCACCACCACCACCGCTGCCAAGAGAGTCGCGAAGAAAAATCCAGAGATTTAGAGGCAGCCTCCGGCGACGGGATAAACCTTATCGGTCGCTTCCAAAGCTCGGGATGCATCCTCTACTGCCTCGCCGTTTTGATTCCTGATGGGCGTGTTAATTGAGCACTTACCTATCGATTTTTATGATTTTCCGTCGAGCCGATAAGGAAGAGAGCACGTGTCCGGGGAAGCTGGTTTTCATCGGATAACACCCGAAGGAGGGGAGAAAAAGGGTAACCGAGAGAGTCAAGAAAACTCTGTCGAGTGCAGGGTGGACCCGAAAAAGCAAGCGTATCGCCCAAAGCTGCGGCGTCTCGAAAACTGGAACTTTGGGTGAGAGAGAGAGGGGGCTCTAATGAAAGTTTGCAGTAGACACCAGGTGACTTATAGCGTCGGAAAGTTGCTCGGCGAAGCGATCGGACTTTTCCCTCCCCGCCGCGAGACGAGGGAGAACCGCGCGAACGAGCCTCGACGCGATATATCCGCGACGATAACGTAAATATATCCGAGGATCCAATCCAACGGCCGTGCTGGGCTCCGTTAACGCCCCCCACCCCCTACTTCGCGTTATCGCTCCATCTATCTTTGCCGTTCCCCCCCCCAACCTACTATCCGTTCTCTTTCTTCCGGCGCGCGTTTCTCCACGGGGCTTTGTCCGACTATTTCGCTTTTGTTTCACTTCCGCGTGGCTCTCTCCTCCCCCTTTTTTACTTTTTCACGCATTTTTCCCTCCCCTACGAGCTTGCGATCGATTCCTCGTTGAAAGTGCACTCGTTACATCGTGTCACGACTGAAGTGGAAATGGGGATGGGCGAGATGAATTATCGAAATGTATGTACCAATATTATAATGTATCGTGTGGAAATTGATAGAGAAAATTAATAGTCGTTCCCTCATTTGTGCCATCGACTGTTGGGGGGCAATAAACTCCCTACTGCTGCTGTATATACTCTTGTACTATAGGATCACATTATAATTGAAATCATCGTCGGTTGTATACTACGTACTTTCGGGTGTTACAACGTAGCGTGTGTATATAACTACGAGAAAGTTTGTTGTGTCGTTGCAATATATGATTAATTTGACAGCAACCCGGAGTAAATGATATTATTTTATCGTGACGCATCGATGATTAATTTCCATCGACTACCGATGGGAACGGGCATCGACAACAACTGCCCGCCATCGCTTTTCATCCCTCGCAGAGTAAGTAAGTATGTATGTATTATCATCCAGCTCGCATTGTGCCCGCGAAAACTCGAAGCTGCACCGCGGGACTCGTAAGAATATAACAAAGTGCCATTCGCTTCCGCGCTTGCGTTTTCCTCGCTTCACATGGACAGAGAGCGCGCAAACAAATGTATGGGTGGAAAGGAGGAGACATTAAGCTGTCGCCGACGTTTGCCCATAAATTGAAGTGCGCCCCTCCCCCCCCCCTGTCGTTTACGGGTGACTTCTTTCTCTCCCACGCTCAAGTGCCGTCTTATTTAAATCATCCGCAAAGCCTCTTAATATTAAAAAATCGCTCTCTCTCTCTCTCTCTCTTACTCGCTTATACATGTACAGCTACTGAAACAGAGAGTTGCCATCCCTTTGCCGTTTCACATATGTACTGTGCCTCATCATCCCGGCAAGGACTCGAGAGCCGGACATTTGTCTGCATTATCGTCACGATTTCACGCTCGGATGTAACCACTCGAGTATTACGCAAGAGGGGGAGGCTTGATTTTATTTTTCGGGAGCACGAGATTTTATTCCGAGTTTTCACGCTATAACGACATTCTACATCTGGGGGGTCCTTCGATGGTTTTGAACGATTTTTTATGACGGCATTTTTCTTGGGTAGGTAATACACCTTATCCGAAAAATATGGAATCATCGAGAGTGGAGCAAATGGCGATAAGGCATTTATCCGTAAGGACTATCAGTTGGATGAAGCGTCGTCGGTCCTCTGCGCGTAGCTGCAGGTGGCTCCGGCGAAAGAGGGAGGGAGCGGTGACGTTGTCCGTTGGCGCCCTGACGTTTACGTCGGCCGAACAATGCGCATGTAAATTTGACACGGGCGCGTGTGTGGGTGGATGAAGCCGCCTTTTCATGGTCCCCTCCCCTCCTCTGCTATTTCGCTCGTACCGCCATGTGTGTGCGTGTGTGTATGACAGACGACGGGTAGGTGTTGCGGGAATTCTTGAAGCTCTGCCACGCTCGGTTTTCCCACCCGCGAGAGGCCCCTTTTGTGTACCTCTTTTTCAACCTCGCGAAGCTTATACTATGCACCGATGACTGGGTTTTTTTTCCCCCCGACTTGTATTGTTTTGTATTACGTGCCACTGCATTATCATGCATTTTCTCCCATGAATATTCAAACGGGGGGACGGTTGAGAGAGGAAAACTGCCCGAATTATCGACAAACTCTACATGCGATGGGAGCATCAGAAACAAAACAAAAAAATTAGAGACACGTTTGTTTGTTCATTTATTCATGAACGCACCGAATAAGAAAAATAAAGCGAGCACAACTAATTTACTTGGCAAATGGGAGACGCTTAGCTTCGTTTTACGACTGACGTAACTTTGCTTTCTTCGCGATATACCTGTCCCGAGAGTGTCAAGTGCAGCTTGGATGGACCAACCAAACGGTTTATTATTTCCCCGCAAAAAAACCAGGTTCACTTCGACACGCCGTAATGTAGGAGATGAAATAAACCATCATCTCTTCGCTGCCAAAAGTACATGCGCAAAGGGTGTGTTTGCAGGTTGCAGGGGCGGCTTAATTCGATTCGAAATTCACGGGAGAAATCCATTTTCGACTTAGCTCGCGGGTTACGCGCTTATCCTTGGGGGAGGACATCTTTTCCTAGCCATAGTTTGGTTCGTTAGCCCTGCCGCGAGGAGCAGCCGTACTTAGACCCTATAGCCGGGATTACGGAGCTTGATTCGATTAATGCGTAACCACGTGCGGGCTTGGAAAACTCTGGGTGGCACGTATTTTGGAGCTCGTGCACTATATTATGCATTCTTTGGCCAACTTGTGGCTCGAAATGTACGTTCAACTCCCTAAACACTTGGGTGCCCCTTTGAACGGAGTTTATAGGGTGACGAGTTTTAAAGTTTGCAACTCTTTTTACAACAGACTCAAATCAATCGTAATTTAAATTCACGCACTGGGTATATGTCTACAGTAGGTATATACACGGCTTAATCGCAATCGGGTCTGTCGGTGTTCCAAGCAAAAAGCCGAGCAAACGCGCTCATCACCTTCGGCAATCACCATAGCGACTTGATTAATCTGTATATTGATTGAAATGAGGTGCAGCGGTAAAGGTGGTGGTGGTAGCAGTAGCGTAAAAAGCTATAGGTGCAAGGGGGGCTATGGATGTATACTGGTTCGTCAAAGGGGGCGCGGAAGCTTGAATATGCATAACCGGCGGAAATCGAGTCGATCGCCGTGGCTGGTATAACGATAGTGGCTAGGTCGGCCGGTTGAATTGAAAATCCTCCCGATTTTTTCATCAGATATGCAGGGACTGCCGCGAATTAACATAAAATTAATTTACTCTACTCTCCATCGGACGGTGAACATGGACCAGCTCTTTCGTACCTCTACCTATACGTAATATTATATGTGTACACAAAAGTGGGAGTAAAAATTGAGGGGAGTAGTTGCATCTGGTACATATACAGATGGTAAAATAATAACCAAATGAAGCGTTTTTATCATTTAGTGAAGGGTCGTCGTAGAGCAACATCATCCTCACGTGCAATGCGTCTCTATAGTCCTCGATGGAAGAACATTTTACCATACGGATGTGTACTTGTCGTAATCACGTTTGCACGTATTATATGCACCGCATCGACAAGGGGCCTCGCGTTAGAAATATACATGCGTATATGTACAAAAAGAGGGAGGGAGGGAGAGAGCTTGACACGGAAATTTGTTCGTGCATAACCGATTTGGCGTCGTTTCAAGGCGTCCTCCTCCTCCTAGCTCTCCTTTTCTCTCTTTTCGCGCTGCCTACAGTTCCCTTTGCAGTATATACCCGGTAGCAGCATAGGGTCGCTCGCTTTAGTTCTGTATCCTCCTCCTCCTCCTCCTCCTCCTCCTCCTTCTCTTTCAACGCCTCTGTTTTACGATCAAAGTTCCGAACGACATTTGCACGTTGCCTACAGCACCGCCACCACACCTACTCATCCTCCTCTTTCCTCCATCGCCTCTCGCGTTCACTTTCCACTCCAGCGATGCCCAGCGCACTTTTGTCCGCGCGCACACGTATATTGTACGTGTATATAGATATTTCTCGTTTCCTCTCCGCCTCCACCACACCTATACGTATACATATATACATATACATGTATACATCTTTTTCCGGGTGCTTTTTCCGCCCACGAGCATTTTCATTCCACGGTGGCCATTCGCGCTGGCTGCACATCATCCGTGCAGCTTTTCCTCCGACCCGAACTGTATAACCCACCCCTTTTACCCGCATGTGTACCACCACCACCGCGTCGCTCTTTCCACGTGCCCGCGCTCATTCGAAAGGAGCGAACTCGGCTCGACTCTCTTTCTTTACTCCTTCCCCCCCCCCGCAGAGAGAGAGAGAGAGAAAGAGAGCTGTGTCATCCGCGTCGCGTAGGGGTGGGTGGTTTCTTTCCGCAATTGTGTTTACTCTTTCTAATTTCCGACCTACGAGAAGGTTATTGTATACTCCGCGCGCTTCGCTCCGCCGGACTATTATTGTTTCGTCGTAGGAACGTCACATTGACAAACTTTGGGGGATCTCCGAGCTGCAAGATTGGAGGATTGTTTGTTCGATGTCGCAGTACGAGAGTAAAAACAATATACTAATGATAATGTTTAATAAATTGTGGTGGTGTAGATACACATTTTGCAAGCTCATAGCTGAATACAAGGGCGTCTCTCCTCCACTTCTCCTTTCGGATCGATTAACTTTAATTACGCCCGAGCACCTCCGAAAAATGCCTACTTATACAACAGATGCGAGCGACTACTGAAATTTCTTTAACCCATCGGGTGTTCAAATAGGTCCCAAATGCTGCTGATGTCCAAAACGTCGCTTGTTGTCCTCCAATAAGAGCGAGTCATTTCGCGATTCTCTCGGTGCGTTTGGCTCGACCGGCCGAGAGCTTTTTATTTCCATGTACCGTATAGCAGTGGAGGGGCACTTTATTCCGGTAAATCGACGCTCCTCTTTCGGCTAACTATCCCCAAGCACGAATCGATTCGAGGACGGTAACGACGTTCGTGCACTCCCCAGCGAGAGTCATTTAGGAAGGGGTGTATCATCCATCTTTTCTTTTTTCTTTTTCGCTGATTTGACGAGAAGGATTTTCAAGTTTTGGTATTGCGATGCATAAAATTAAAGAAAANTATATCGACATATTTATTTTAAAGTTTACGGATCCATTTTATGGATTTAACATTTATTCATTTGTCTTCGTTTTATTTTGTCTACTTATCATTGTATTAATTTGTTGCTGTTATTATTAGAATAATAACATATTAAAAAAACGAAGTCTTACGCAAATATTAATCGATCTTTGTCTTTTCACGTTACAGAGTGACAGCGGGCTAGCGGAGCCAGATCCAGCTCAAACTGGCAGCATGACAGCCATCAATTCGGTAAGTCGAATTTTCACTTGCACCCGGTCATTATTTTTCTTTTCTTTTTATTTTCCACCCCTTTGACTGTGCTTGTGTGTGTGTGTATGTGTAAAAAGCAGCGAATAGGAAACAACAATCGCGGAGGGAAAAAACAACTTGGTCTCACCCCCCACCCCCCCCCTTGAACGCGGCGAGTCTCACCCTTTTGTTCGCTTGATTTTTCCTTTCACGTCGCTCACTGAAGAAAAGAAACAGAAATGGGGGAAAGGAAGGGGGAAACAGAACGGCGGCAGGTCCCGCAGTTTTGCCACGTGCGCGCACGCCCAGCGAATTTTCAAGTGGGCTCCGACTCACGGGTTTTTACGATCGATCTCCCGCACCGAGCTTTTTTTCCTCTCAGTGTATAGGTGTACTTCTCGCCGAAGAAGATATGAAGAAGTTTTTTCTTTCCTTGCAAGAGGGCGATTGAAAGAGTATATACATACCCACTTGTACATGCGGGGGGGGGGGTAGGTACATACAGGGGGTGCGTGTAGAGATTATTCTGCGATTAAAAATTAGCTTCAGGTTTGCCAAGGAAATTCGGGGGAGGGTGGAAGGCGCGTAGTTTTGCTCGCCTCTCCAGGGAGCCGGTGTCGCGGTAATGAAGCTTTGTACGATACATTATTATTTGACACGTAGCTCGTTCACGCAAATTAAGTTACCTGTTGTTGTTGGACGTGAAAAACACACGTATGAATGTATATGATTCATACGTACGTTTCGAGCTCGGACGTGTGAGTAAATATATTAATTAACGCGACAAACAGCCAATTGCTCATAACGCATTCATCACAAACATTATTGAAGGAAGGTTATTAAAAATCCCTTTCCCCCCCCCCATTCACGATCATCGTATAACTGTACCGTTACATTGACGTACAGCTGATTTTTTATTAAAATCGACGTAGGGGGTGGGGGGTAGGAAACTCTGATAAAATCCTTCTCTTGTAATTGCGATGGTTGTACAACGTCGTCGACGTCATCGTGTCTCAATTAACGTTATTGAAGCTTGCAGCTGGCCTCCGTGAAAATCACACGATGGACGGGGGGGGGGGGGAAGTAAAGTCAACAGCAGCAGCTGCACGGTAAACTTTAATTACAGCTGTTTTGGGTCAGCGGGGACGAATCCGCCCTTCATTGAAATATTGATCAACGATACGCCGGGCGTGTAATTGCCATACCGATGGCCGCGCAGTCCTTTCTCCCCGGGTTTTTTTCATCACCCGAGCTTTTCATTCCTTGGTTCGGTGTGTGTACGTACCTGTACCTCCTTCGTGCGAAATCGATTTCTAAGCCACATACGTGCGCTTGACGGGGGGCGGGAGGGAAGAAAAAAATTAAGCTCAAAAATTGTCCCCTCCTTCGGCAGCAGAAGCTCCGTGTACGTGGCGCGTAGCGATTGTAGCGAAAGAAAGCCGGCAACAACTTTTTCAATTTCGTTTTCCCCCGACGTTCGTACGTACGTACACATATATATACATACATATAGCTGCATTGGCTCTCGCTAAATCGGAATTCGCGAAAACTTTTTTGCCTCTCCATCTCATGCCTTCGCTCTGTATAAGCTGGTATGTGTATACGACTCGTTTTTTTTTTTTCTCTGCGAGCACGTGCGCGTCGATAAGCTGGAAAATCTAAATAACGCGATTGTGTGTGGCAAAGTAGGCCCCCTCTCTTCTTCGATGCTACCTGGAAAAATTCACGTGCTCTTTTCTCTTCCTCCTCGGGGTCCTCTGTACCCATCTTCTGTTGTACTTTATCGAAAACAGACGATCGAATGTCATTTTTTTAAAAATTTTTTCCCAATTGTTAATCAAAGCATTGAAAAATGTCGATTATGACGGATGAGCCGTGTCAAAGGCCGATGGGGAAAAGCCGAATGGGAATATCGATACAGGACAGGACCTACATCGTAATAGGCACAGCCTCTGTATTCTCAGTAACGGGGGCTGTATCTCGCAGATTCATCAGATGGATCCGTCCGAGTTCAAGGTCACCGTGTGATGGCTACTGCTGGCTCGGGTGTGCAATCAAAGGCGCTCTGACGTATAAGTACTCGCGCTGGTATTCGCTTTGATTCGCTCGCCAACGTGCATAGTTGCAGGAGGCTTTTTACTACTATTGATTTCTTTGATCCATCCTATCCATCGAAGTAATAGACTCTAGCGCGACTGCAGTTGTACGGTATCCATAGGCTCATCTCGTTTTATCCGATGTATGCTGCAGTGCGGGTACAACCTTCGCGAGAGATAGGGTATAGCGTTCATGGGTCCTACGAAGACTTTGACAAATTCATCTTTTGGATTTTTTTTTTTCTTGGTTCTTCTCATCATCAGAAATTCTCTCTTCCCTCCTTTGTGTTTGCATGCTCTTTTTTTTTTTTTTTTTTTTTTGCTCGATTTGTCTCCGAATCTCTGCTATTCCGTCCTTCGAAATGTAGTGTGAGCTGTATTGTATAAATATATACCGATGATTTCTATAAAGGTATAGATACGTCTCCTGCCTCGGCAGAAGCTCGATAGCGAACCCTCTAAATGTGAAGTGTAGTAACATTTTATTGCGATTCTTTGAATGTCAAGTTACGATACAAATATGAGTATGATTGGGGTAAATCAATCTATCCCATTTTGTGAAGACATTCAAGTATATATTTGTTTAGACTCTCGACGATAAAAACCTCTACAACAGCATCCATTTTTCTTGAACGTGAAATTAGTAAGTGAAGTTCGTTACTCCTGAAAAAAAGGAAGCAAAACAGCAAAACGCAAAACACGCAACAGCGACAACGAATGATCGGTATATTTTCGTTGGGGGCCACGCGTTTATTCACGCCCAAAAATCCATGTAGTAGTAAGTAGTAATAATAATAATAATAGCAATAGCGACGATGATGTACAAGTGGGATGGCAAACGAGGAAAGATGAAAAACGTGGTCCGCGCTTGATGGACAGTGACGAGAGCCATCATCGAGAGACCTATCCGTCTGGTCTATCTATAGGCTGTAAGTATACGTATAATGTACACCTATCCTTGGTCCCTCTCGAAATTATACCTACACGTACACGTATACGCTGGACCGCTTGTGTACACACACATATATTATATAGGTATGACCCATCTCTGACGTAAGTATACATTGGTGGTGGTGGTGGTTGTGTACGCGAGACTCGCGAGAGATCGCTAAAAGCCAGCACAGCTGTCCACATATATACAGTATAGCCAGTGCATAAGTTTCTAGCGTAGCTCTCGTACAATACACATACACGCAATACACAGAGAGAGGGAGAGAGAAGAGGAACTGAACAGTAGAGAGGGAGAGTAAGTATAGTGCGAGTAGACTACTGTGGTTTAAATAAAGCACGCCTATGTGGGTCAGTCGGTGTGTGCGCGTGTAGTGGTATTAACCGCACTATAACACAACCGTCGGGGCCGTAAATCTTTGCTACGAGCCGGGGGCACATCACGCGTCCCTCCCTTCCTCTCACTCACTTTGGGATGTGTTACGCAATGGCACACACGCTAAGCGAGTAGAGCACGAGATTCTTCTCTCTCTCTCTCTCTCCTCTCCATCACTCTTGAGATGCCCTTTAAACGATTCTCATTATCGTTCCTCCTTTTTCCCTGATGACGGTGACGGCTGTCGTGCTCTTTTTCTTGTTTCATCGCCCCCACCCTTCCCTCCCCTCTAATTAAACCCCAGATGTAAGTGTACACTTAACCATGGAAATAATATACGTATTTTTGAAACTATCACAACAGTTATTCCCACGGGTAATGGGTGCGAACTAATCTATTATGATTAATGAATTTGGGAGGGAGGGGGTAGGTTTTTACTCGTATATACACCCACACATCAACACGAGAGCTTGCGGTTTATTTATCGGGTATTCAATACAAGTGTAGTAGTGGACGCGGAGAAAAAAAAGGTGATTTTTGTGCCGATGAGGGGACAAGACAGGGTGTATATTAATTTTTTTTTCTCTCCGCGCGGGTCGCGCGGTTGGTGGTGGTGGCACATACCTACTGTATTCACATGAGGAACGGGCCGTACCAAAGAGCAAAATTTGGCCTTTTGTTGCAAAATATATGGCTACCATTGTTATCATGAAGCCCGTCCTTTCGTTGAAAAAACCAGCGTAAAAAGCACAAAAAAGAGCTGTATAAAAAGTATACGCCACAAGAACCTATGGAGCAAGTATGCGATCTACGCGAAAATACGGGAATGATCCGTGATAGATAACCATTATATCCTCGGTGCAAGACGTCGCGAGAACCATAAACAAACACACGCAAGTTTTTTTTTTTTTTTCCTCCTCCACTCGGTCCATCGACTTCATTGCAGCGCAAGTCGCCGCTGATGTATTTTCCCTCTTCCACGGAGATTCGCTCCTCCGCCTCTTCTTCCGCTGTACGTACAAGCCGGAGCCCCCCCCCCCCCCCCCCACGGCTCCGCGCGAGCACACACATTTTACGAGCGCGCCGAGTCTTACCGGGCAAACGCTCGTAAAAGCCTCGTCGTGAAAAACCGAATATAATGGACTTGTAAATTATCCAGGTCAGCCGAGAATCGACTACACCCCTCCTCCTCCCTATACACACTCTTGGTGCCTTTCTTCTTGTCCCTCGTTGTTCTTCGCTCGACTGTTAATGGCCCCTCGCTCCGCGTTTGCGAAAAAGAACTCGCTTTTCTATCATTCCTCTTTTTCTTATTTTCCCTCGCAACATATGCTCAAATGACGATTTAGGTGATATACCGATTCTCCCGCACTAATAATTAATTAATCGACAGCCCCAAGAAGAATAGGTACATGACGAGCAGACCGAAAAAAAAGTGTCTCCCCTTCCCTCCTGCCTCGTCACGATCTTCTCGAGGGTGCGATTGGTGTCGTCGTCTCAAAGTTCTCATCGTTACTGCCTATATGCACTTGCACTTGCCGATCGAAAACAGCGGGAGCTCAAGGAAGGATTTGCTCCTG